CTCGCGGCCCCCCGCTCCCATGCCTTGCGCGCACCACATCGTCCACTTACAGCCGAGCCTCTTCCCCTTCCCCTCCTTGCACCTCTTCCTCTCCCACGCACCGACGACCTACATCCCCTCTCACACAAGCCCACAGCCCCAAACGCATAAGTCCCCGCCCAATCCAGTCTCCAGTCTCTCTGCCTTGCTCGCACCCGCCACCAACCGCCACTGCCTCGCCTGTCGCCTTGACCCGCACCTCACCTCCCCTCCCCCCCCCCACCCACCCACCCACCCACCCCCACCCCCACCCCCACCCCCACCCCCACCTCCTCCAAGGCCATACCGAGCTGTGGGCGTCACAGGCATTGTCGCTGCCTTGGGTCGCGCACGAGTTCAGTGTCTCGTCCACCCAGCATCCAGCACCAGCACCAGTGCACCCACTCCCCCTCGCCCCGTTGGCGACAACAACAAACCGACTCCCTCGACGCCCCACCATCACATCACATCACATCACATCAAATACCGCTGCTGATCAACACACACCACACCACACATGTTCAATGCAAGATCCATAGTCTGTGGTAGGTGGGAGGCATGGGATGGATCACCTGTTCTGGACCTGGGCAAGGACCTTTGAAGCCATGACAAACTCGAGGAAGAGAAGGGTGATGGCAATCCAGGAGAGGATCCAGTCGAGATGGAAGACCCAGACCTGCCACCAGAGCCAGTAGACATGCATGGCAGCAACAAGGAGTGTGAGGCCATCAAAGGCCAAGAGTGCCTTGCCCGATGCCACCGCGTTGCCCATGTACCCCGCGTACAGCCTCAGCGGCTCGAGGGTGAGGAACAGGACCCAGAGAAACGACTCGCCCCCCAGCGCATGGTCCGGAAAGACAAGCTCCTCCGCTACACAACCGCATCCCCACATCCACTCCATACACGTGTGAGTCGTTATCGTACTGTCGTGTGCTGCACACCCTTGGTGACCTGCACACCGCTTGCGCCCGCGGCGCGCCGTTGGCCAGCACACGCCCAGCAACGTACCCTTGTAGATGAGGAGGGCGAGGGTGAGTATACCAAAGGCTACCGAGTAGCGGGTATGGATATAGAGCAAGACTTGGAGGGGGAGAAAGGCATAGAACAAGCCAGGGTCCTGGTGGGCAAGCGGAACCCGCTCCTGGATCGACGTCACCTCCATGGTGGCGTGGTGCCGTCCTTGGCGCCATACGGCACCCGTTTGAAATTCACGACCTTTTCCTGCCGTTGCCGCTTTGGCGCCCGATCGATCACTCCTCGCCGCACCCACCCAGACGCCATGACCTCCTCCACCGCCTCTGCCTTTGATGCGCTCTGTGGCGAGCTTGAAGTTGTCCGCCAGCGCGCGGGTGGCCGCCGCGGCAAGACTAAGCGGCATGCGCTTCTTGAGCTGGAGGAGGTGCTCGGACATGGCTTTGCCCGCCTTGGCGCTGTGGCCATGCGCAGGCTGCGGCAGGTGGCCTGGGACATTGGCGTCACCGCCATGGTCTTTGACACTGTCGCCGACGCGGCAGAGGCCCGTGGGAGCGAGACTGGCTGGGACGTGACGCAGCGGCTCGTCCACATTGCTGGCACGCTCATCTCGGGTCTTGGCCGTGCCTCGGCCTACCTTGCCGACCGCCGCCTTGGGGCCGTTCTCATGCGCCTCGTCGCCGACTGCCCACTCCCGGCCGTCGCCACCGCACTCATCCACTCGGTCTCGGACGTGCTAGGCTTTGGTCGCGGCCGCGGCCCGGTCCGCACTCATGCTGTTCGTGATGCTGCATCGACACGCGCCTTTGAATCGCTTCTCTCGCGCCTCCGCCACCCGATTCCGCTCTCTGCCGTCCTGCGCCTCCTTCGCCGGATTGTGGCCTCGTCGCCGGCCGCGCTCCGCGCCTTTGTCAACGCCAACGGTGGCGCCGACTCGATGCTCCTTGACATGCTAGCCTCGTCGCACAATCCCTCAGTTCTCATGCGGGTTCTCGACGTCATCACCGCGCTCGTCATGGCCTCGTCGGACGAGCGCGACTTTTATATGCGTGCCAACGTGTCAGCCGCCGCCGCTGCGGTCGCGCACAAGGTCGAGGGTCACGCGAGCCTGCTGCTCGACGTGACAACCGCCGACTCGCCCAAGAAGCGGCTCGCCGACCTTGCCGCCGCCGCTCGGCTTGTACAGAATGCGTGGCGGAGCCACCGGGCGTGGCGGGCATGGAAGCTCCTTAAGAGCTACGTGGTGCGGGTCCAGCGCAAGCTGCGCGGCCGCATCGAGGCCTCGCGCGCTGCTGCCGCCCGCGGCCGTGACTCGCAGTGGACCACTGTTGCCACCAAGCACAAGGCCAAAGCGCGCGAGCTGAAGCGCAAGCAGGAAGAGCTTGAGTTTGTGGCCCAGCTTCCGGCCGACAGGGTGAGCGGGTGGAAGCGAATCCGCGCCGCCATCCTCATCCAGCAGGTGTGGCGGAAGCGGCTTCAAGCCATCCGCGAGCGGAAGGCCCAGGCGAGCGGAGCCGCTCGAGACAAGCCGGACGTGGGAGAAGGTGACGGCGCAGATGCCGAGAACGTGGTGCCCGAGGCCGATCCGGCCGACGTCGGCCTCCCGACTCGGAAGCCGCTGACCGCGCAGCGGCTCCGGGCCCACCACGATGCCATCCGCACCAAGCTCGCACACTACAAGACAGTCTCTGGGCCGACGTCGGCCAAGAAGCTCGCCGAGCTGCGGGTCCGGGTCGAGGACGCAACCAGTGCAGCCCAGCGCCGAGCTGCGATCGTGGCTGCTGGCCAGCGGCGACGAGCGGGGCTCATTGCCGCCGCCTCGCAGACAGCTGCCGAGCTGAGCGGCTCGCTTTCACTGCAGGCCATGGCCGCTGCGCAGCCGCAGGTGTCCGAGCGGCAGCGAACGTCCGCGGCGGCACGTGCTGCGCACGCCCGCGACCTCGCCAAGGCTTCGCAGCCGTGGTGGGCCGAACTCCCGCTCACCACCGTCAACGGCGAGCGGATTCCGGCCAAACACATGCCGCTGCCGCCGTCATCAGCCTCGTTGCTCAGCCAAAATTGATGGTCATGTTGGTGGAGACGCCTGTGGCCGAGGCGGCGACGGCGTCGGCGAACGCGTCGTACGAAATGTGCAGCGCGTCGTTGTCGGGCCCGGGCTCTGCGCCAAACACTTCGTAGCAGGTGTTGACCAGGATTTGATCGAGCTGATCGTCCGAGAGATTTGCGCCCACCATGAGCCGGAGGATGTTCTTCAGGTTCTCCCGGGTGATGTATCCGTTGCGGTCCGTGTCGTAGACCGAGAACGCCAGTCGGAGCTTGGACTCCTCCGGCGCCCGCTCATGGAAGACCGAGAGCACCTCCACAAACGACAGAAAGGTGATGCGGTCTGTCGCCTCTGGGTCAAAGAGAGAGAGAATGACGTCGATGAGCGGATTCATGGACAGCTCGGGCACCTTGAGCACATCGGCCCGAGTCAGTACAGGCTTGCCGCCCTTGAGCCTACAGTACCTGCGATACATCCTCCGCACATCGCGCGCCTCCACTAACCCCCCCCCCCCCCCCCCCACTACATGCACGAGTCACCCGTCCCACCAGCCAGTCAGCCGGTCAGCCAAGTCAGCCAGCCGCATTGCAAGCCCCAGCTGCCCGTGAGTGCGGTCGACAGCGATGCGCCCATGGTGGTGAACGAGTGACGTGTGACGTGTGCCGTGTGCCGTGTGCCGTGTGTTGTTTGCCACCGCCGCCGCCGACGTCGAGTCATTCCGGGTCGGCACGCGTTCGGCGACTCTCCGATCGGCAACAGTTGGCAGGCTGTCGAGGCTCAACTCTCACGACACGGGCGCGTGCGTATTACTCGGCCAGCGATGCTTCTATGGCGGCAAACTTGGTCTCGGCAAGGAGCGTGCGCTCCTCGAGATCCTCAAGCTCGTCCTCGAGTGTTGCCACGAGATCCATGGCGGACTTGAGCCGGGTGCCGGCCAGCTCGGCAGCCCGCTCGGCGCCATGCACGGCGTTGCGCTGCTCGTCGAGTTGGCGGCGAAGACTGGCCTCGGCATCTTCGGCAGTGGCAACCTGACTCTTAACAGCGGTGAGCTCGGCCTTGAGAGAGACTACTGAGGCAGAGGCCTGGCGGGCCTCGTTGCGCGCGGCAGCGAGCTCGGCCTCGAGCTGGGCGACACGATCGGCGGCTGCGGTAGCATCGGCCGAAGACTTCTTCAGCGTGGCCACCTTTGAGGTGGCTGCTGCCAGGTCAGCCTCGAGTTCGGCCACTCGGGCTTTGAGCTTGTCTGCTGATGACTTGGCTGCGGCGGCGTGGCGTGCTGAGTCGCGCAGCTCGGCGAGCTCGTGGTCGAGCTTGTCGGTCCGGGACTGGAGTGCCGCTGCCGACGCCTTTGTAACCTTGGCCTCCTCCTGCGCGTCTTCAAGCTGGAATCGCAGCTTTTCAGCTTCCTTCTTGACGCTCACCAGCTGCTTAGACTTGGCGTCAAGCGAGGCCTCGACGTCGGCAAGATTAGCGACGGCCGATCTAGTCGCAGCCACTTGCGCTTCGAGCTCGGCGACCTTGCTCTCCAGCGCAGCAGCTTGCTCGGCCTTGGCGGCCGAGTCGCTGCCGGCAGACTTGGCGTCGGCCAGCTGCTGCTCCAGTGCCGCTATCTTGGTCCGCAGTGCGTCAGCGTCATCGACTTGAGCCTGTGTCTTGGCAATCGTCTCGGCCAGCTCAGCCTTCAGCTGCGTGACCTCAACCTTGAGCTCATCAACCTCACTAACGTGGGCAGCCATGCCCGCAGACTGCTCCTCCAACGTCGCCACCTTTCGGTCCTTGGCTGCAAGGTCCAACTCGAGGCTGTTGACCTTGCTTTCGAGTGTTGCCACCTTGGCCCTCAGCGCAGATGCCTCTTCAGCATCTGCCTTGGCATTGGCTGCATCGGCAAGCTGGGCCTCCAGCTCGGTGACTTGTTTCTTGAGCTTGGTCACTTGCTTGGCCTTGGTCTTGGCCTTGGCCCCGGCAGCCTCTGCATCAGCCAACTGGCTTTCGAGTGTCGTCACCTTGGTCTTCAGCGCAGACGCCTCTTCAGCACCGGCCTTGGCATTGGCTGCATCGGCAGCTGGGCCTCCAGCTCGGTGACTTGTTTCTTGAGCTTGGTCACTTGCTTGGCCTTGGTCTTGGCCTTGGCCCGGCAGCCTCTGCATCAGCCAACTGGACCTCGAGCGTCGCCACCTTAGACTCGAGCGCCGCAACCTGGGCGGCCTTGGCTTCGGCGTCACTTCCGGCGGCCTGTGCATCCGCAAGCTGGCTCTCGAGTGTCGTCACCTTGGTCTTCAGCGCAGACGCCTCTTCAGCACGGCCTTGGCATTGGCTGCATCGGCGAGCTGGGCCTCCAGCTCGGTGACTTGTTTCTTGAGCTTGGTCACTTGCTTGGCCTTGGTCTTGGCCTTGGCCCCGGCAGCCTCTGCATCAGCCAACTGGTCCTCGAGCGTCGCCACCTTGGACTCGAGCGCCGCAACCTGGGCGGCCTTGGCTTCGGCATCACTTCCGGCGGCCTGTGCATCCACAAGCTGGCTCTCGAGCGCCGCCACCCTAGACTCGAGCTTGGCCATCTGCTTGGTCTTGAGCTCGGCTTCGCTTCCGGCAGCTTGTGCATCCGCAAGCTGTCGCTCGAGCGCCTTCACCTTGGACTCGAATCCACGGGCTGCCTTGAGCTCAGTCGCGAGCTCGGCCTCGCGGGCCTTGGCCTCCTTGAGGCTCACGGCCACCTTGCGGAGCTGGGCCTCACGCATCGCGAGCTGCATCGCCATCTCGGCATCGTCGCTTTTGGCGTTGCCACTCTGAGCGGTAGCAGAAGGCACAGGATTGACCGCGGGCGTGGCCTTGGCTTCGGGCGTGGTTTTGGCCGCAGGTGCGGCCTTCGTCCGCCGAATGGCCGAGGCAATCTTGAGCGCGGCAGCTGACTTTTTGGCGGTCGGCGGCGGCGCGCTGACCTTTGCGCGGGGGGTGCCCGAGCTGGAGCCGACCGCAACCGCAGCCGACGCGGGCGCGGGCTTCGATCCGAGATGCTCAGCGCCGAGCTTGGCGAGGTTGAGCACTGCAACTTTGTTGTTGACCGACGATTCCGCGGCCACCATGGCGCCGCCAAGAAGAATGGCCTTGTTCTCGTTGACGATGGTGAGGGTGGCAAAGGCCCGCGGCGCCGGAGCACGGTCGGCTGTAAGCCTGGACCACTTCAGATCCTCGAGATCCAGCGCGTACGCATCCCCAAACAGGGAGCTTCCGTTGGTCCCGCCAAAGACAATGAGCCCGGCATGGCCCGAGACCGGCAGGCTTGGTGCAAACGCAGCCGCGGCGCCCCATCGCGGCGACGGCGCCGTTCCCGAGACGCCCGGCGCAACCCAGGCATCAGCGCCGACATCGTAGAACATGACATCGTCGAGCGGCTTTCCCGCCGCGTCAGCGCCGCCAAAGACGACCACCACATCCATGGCGCTCCACCCGACAGCTGCGTGTGCCCTCCGCGCCGGCCCAGAGTCGCACGCCGCAGCAGCCGCCCACTTTGCACCGTCAAAGACAAAGGTGCTGTTTCCGACGACCTCGCCATCGCTCCCAACACCGCCAAAGAGCACAATCGAGTCGCCGACAGCGGTGAACGAGTGCATCATGCGCGGCTCGGGTTTTTTCCCGCAAACCTCGGCGCCGAGAACGTCGGCGTGTCATGCGAGTACGTCAGCACATAGACCTTATCCGAGAGCCATCCTGCACCCATGCCTGTCCCCGATGATGCCGCCGCTACCGACGACGACGACGACGACGACAATGGCTTTGCCAGCGCCCCTCCAAAGATGTAGAACTTGGAACCGATGCATGCGGCGGCGGCAGCGACGAGCGACGGGAGCTTCTTTCCGATGAGGCCCGGGCGAAGCCAGGTCATGAGGCCTGTGAGCGAGAGCTTTGAGACGCGCACAGGCGAGATGCCAATGGCCCCAGCATGCTGCGGTGCCGTGGGGAGGAGGGCAGCCGAGTCATCGTTCTCGTGCCATTTGCCGCCTGCAAAGCAGTAGAGGGTGGAGCCCGAGGCGTCTGCCAGAGCAAGGTGCCCGAGACGGGGGAACGGGTTCTTGGAGACCCGAGAGAGACTCCAAGCCATAGTAGTGTATGTGTGTATGTGTGTGTGTGTGTGTGTGTGTGTGGCGGGCGGGGACGGGG